TTAGGTTTATTCTGTTCCTTTTTAAGAATGAGGGAGACAGAATTCAATCTTGGCTTCAAGATCTTTAGAAATTATGTAACCCTGGGGATGCTAATTAACTTTTCTAAACCTCTTTTATTATGTGTAAAATGAGACCTGCATAGAAACACATTTTATACTAGAGATGTATTCCTAAATAACTTGTGTCATCCAGGCTCATTTTATTTTAGAAATAAAGTTAGAAGGCTGATGCTGTAAAGTTCTGTCAATCTGTCACCGTTGTAATGTTAGGAGTCGGGCAAATCACGGAAGCATTAATCACTCGGTTCAAGTTGCAGCTTCCAGTGATCTGTACTTGACTATACAGTTGGATTTCTATTTTCTGCTGAACCTCACGGTATATTTGCTATAGTGCTGGTTTTTATTTTCTCAACCTCCTCATTTCAGACAGCGATGTACAAGTCCACTCCCTTCACCTTCATGACAGTTTTGGATGTTTTCATTGAGTTGTTTTATTTTTAACTGTCTTCTAAATTGACCGCCCATGCTCCCTTTTTACCACCACTTTAAAAATATTTTATTTATTTGTTAGAGAGATTCAGAATGAATATGTTGTTCACAAATTCACACCCAGAAGCTAATGAAAACCACAGCTGAAGTCCAGATTGCCGGTGTGGGTGGCAGGGACGCTCGTCCTGGCACCTGATATCACACCCAGAGCACTCGGACATGGGTGTCTACATCTTTATCATTAGGCTAAAGACCATCCTCTTCTTCCACCTTGTTACACAACTGCAGTTGCTTATTAAATATGTTGTAATTTTTTTAAGAGGAAACCTTACATATTGAAGTTTATTGTTAATATTTTTTAAGTGTTGTAAATACAGCTTCAGATTTCAAGGCAGAAAACAAAGATAATTTAACAGAAGGAAACAGTTATTACCAACAACTTCAGGACATGTGAGACAGTGGAGAAGGCATGGTCCAGTGCCCAGTGAGAACTGGAGTTTGGAGGGAAGGCTTCTTGGCTATAACCATGGGAGCCTCTGCCAGGACAGCCTGGGAGAGCTGAGACCGCCTTTACCTGTCTTCTGCCTTTCTCCTGACTTGCCCTTTTGATCGTGGCTCCCATTCTCTGAGCTCAGCTGCAAACCAGTAGGCACTGGAGCCTGGGAAATAGTTTCTAAGCATTCACACTCTAGGTTGCAGTGTTTACCAGGACAGAGTTTTGATGAGGAATGATTCGAAGAGTAGACTGATGAATAAATTGTACTCACACAGTGTTGAAGAACATAAAGAGCCAGAATTCACACAACGAGCTTGTGAAGTTGGCCCATCCTTTGGTTTACTGGCTGATTTGGCTGGAGTTTTTGCAGAAGGGAGACCCTGATCCAAATATTTGATTGAAATGATTAGTTAGGGAAACCCTCCTAGGAATAATAGTGAGATGGGAGGGAATCATGATGGGGCAGAGGGAAGAAGCCAAGAAAAAAATAATCCTGGTTAGGGAGTCCCAGTCTGTACTTGGTCCAGATGGGGGCTTTGGTATATTTATTGCATCTCATTGTGAGGGTTTTGTTTAAAAAAAAAAAAAAAGAGCTAGGTTTTGAGATCTCTCTTGCTGAAAAGGAGCAGGCTTATTCTATAAAGAACGTTTGCCTCTGGGAGCCCTTCGCAGAGTACTCGGCACTTGACAGTTCACAGCAGAGAAAGAAGAAACTGGGGGGGCAGGGGACCACGCGCCAGCTCAAGTACTACTTGAAGGTTGTCAGAAGCAGCCAGGGCTGGCACCAGGGGCAAGTGCCAGCACCCCAGAGGAGCGCTAACTTGTGTCCCAGCGTCCGTGGATGGCTCAGTGCACCCACATGAAAGAACCAGAAGCTGCTTCAGGCTTTTGGCTCTATAGTTTGAAATTGTTTATGAATGTGAATTTGTATTCATGTTTTTATGTACCACTGCATTTTTCATGAGGTTGCCTCAGAGGAGGCCTAAAATGTGTCTACGTTATCTTGGAAAGGTTCCTGGTGTTGGGGTGGGGTGTGTTTTCCCTAGCTTGAGTTGCAGGTCTGAGTATCTATGTTCCATGTCCACCTCAGGCTTTAAATTATAGCTTCCTACTAATCCGGATCCAGGGTGATAGTAGTGAAACAAGACATTGGGGTTATGCCACTCATGTGGGGGCCTAGATTGCATTAGGCTACCAGGGTAACCCCAACCATTGTGGCATTTGGGGAGGACATGGAGGTGTAGGACTGTGTTTGTTTCAAATATATTTTTTAAAACATTATTTTAAGACATTTTTTTTTCCTTAAGAGTTACATATTTTTGTTGGAAAGGCAGATTTGCAGAGAGAAAGATCTGTTGGTTTAGTCCACAAGTGGCGCAGTGACTGGAGCTGAGACAATCAGAAGCCAGGAGCTTATTCCAGGTCTCCCACACGGATGCAGGGTCCCAAGGTCCTGGGCCATCTTCCACTGCCTTCCCCATTGTACAAGCAGAGAGCTGGATAGGAAGTGGAGCAGCTGGGACACAAACTGCTGCCTATATGTGATACCGTGTTAGGAGTGGAAGATCAGCCAGTTGAGCTATTGGCTCAATCCCGAATAGTTTTTTAAAAGTTCACAGAAGCTTCGATGTGATGGCTCAATGGCTAAATCCTCACCTTGTATGCACCAGGATCCCTTATGAGCACCGGTTTGTGGCCTGTCTGCTCCACTTCCCATCCAGCTCCTTGCTTACAGCCTGGGAAAACAGTAGATGATGGCCCAAAGCGTTGGGAGCCTGCACTGTGTGGGAGAACCTAAGAAGCCATTTGGAGAGTGAAGCAGCAGATGGAAGAGCTGCTCTGTCTCTTCCTCTGTGTGTAGTTCTGGTCTGCCTTTCCATAGAAATAAATCTTAAAAGAAGTAGTTAACAGGAAATGTGTATTATAAAAGTGATATACATGTATTTCAAATTTCTCTTTTATGAAAATACTTATTTTCCATGAAATTTTTATAAGTAATCTTATATGTGCATATATGTGTGTATGTAATCCAAATTACATATTTCTCCTTGATAAAATTGATTTAAAAAATTTCCCCTTGATTTATAAGTATTTCTGCAGGCTGACTTAATCCACGCAGAAACCCCGTATCTGATTTTGCTTCAGAGGAATCCACCCCAGTCTAGCTCATGGGACATCTTGTCCTGTCACTGCTCTTACTGCTCTTGAACTGTAGTTTAGATTTCAGTTTTCATCTGATTTTTAATAAATCAATTTCACTTTTTACCTCTTGCCCATTATCTTAATCTTGCTGTAATTCAGAGAATTTTAAGTTTTCAAGACATGAATGTTGTTAGAAATTTCCATACATAACATATTCTTTCCCTGTCACTCTTATTTGGCAAATGCCGGTTTCTATGGGGTCATTGATAACCTCTTCCTGTTACGTCTGGCTATGCACAGCGAGGGAATGGCTACGCTTTTGTTGCCCATGCTCGTCAGCTCTAATCTCTTGCTCTGTTACATGCCTGCTAATGAGTATCATATGCACAGCTTTACTTTAAGCATACTACTTTTCTTCATGTGTTTAAGTTCTCCTTGAAATTGAGTTGACGGATTTTTTTTTCTGCTTGTCAGAAAGAAAGCATTTTGTGTATTCTCTAGCATAGGCTTTCTGTTGCAACTAGTCATTGTTGGCATTGCAGTGCCAAAGCAGCTGTGGGTAATACCTAACCTAAAGGGCTTGGCTGCCTTCCCATGGAACATTGTACAGACACTAAAATTTAAATTTAATGTGATTTTTCTGGGTTTATGTGTCTTAAGAAACCATTCTTGCCTCATATACCACAGTTTGCTTTAACCTGTGCCACAGTTAGCTTGGGATGTGCCTATTACTTAACCCAATTACTTGCTGTCATTATTTTAATTTGCATTGCTAATTTCAGAGCCTTTGTTCCTTGTATTAGGAGAAAGTATAGGGAAAAAGCATTAAACGATATCAACTAAATCCTGACTATGTATTAATTGCCAGCTAGCTCTTAGGCTTCTGAAGTTTAATAGACTGTAAGATATACACATTGACATAAAAGGTGCAGGCACACATGTGTGCACATTTGACATGGAAATATATTTGCAGATTATATCCAGCATTCCAGTTATCAGGTGAGTAGTAGATAGCAATAGGAGTAATTTTTAGATTCCATTTGTCCAGCACTTAGAATTTACACAGCATCTTCCACATGCCTTGTCTGAGTTAGTATGCTTACAAGGAGGTATGTTGTGGGTCAGTGTGATAACTCAGCTGGCTAATCCTCTGCCTGCAAGAGCCAGCATGCCATATGGGCCCTGGTTTGTGTCCTGATTGTTCCAACAACAGCAGCAGAGGATGACCCGAAGCCTTGGGATCCTGTATCCTCATGAGAGACCTAGAAGAGGCTGCCGGCTCTTGGCTTTGGATTGGTTAAGCTCCAGCCATTGTGGCCATTTGGGGAGTGAACCACTGGATGAAAGATCTCTTTCTTTTTCCTTCTCTCTGTAAATCTGCCTTTTCAGTAAAAATTAATAGTAAATCCTTTAAGTGGTGTGTTATCCTATTTATTAGATGATGAAATGTCATGAGAGTTTAGTGACTTGCTTGTGTCTAGTTAGGCACTAGGAGAATTGAGCTTCTTGTTTATGGAACACTCACAGGATTTTGGAAATAAAGAGTGTCACCATTCTAATCTTGCTGTTTTACAAAAGAGCACCCAGCTTTGGTGCTAATAATTTACAGAGCAGACACTCAGCAACCCTGATCTCCCAGTTACTTAGGACAGAGTGTAAATTCCGTTAGGGTGTGTCTAAAATAGCTGTAACAGAATGGAAAGTAATGCTTATGTGCTTTTATTTTTGAAGTAAGTATTTTTTGTAATATCTTTAAAAGTGTTAAGTAAAATAATGAAGCATCACGTGGAAGCTGGCTGTCTAACCATTGCTCAAAGCTAAAACTCCTAGATGTCAGTTCATGTGGAATAACTGCACACTGGTTCCTTCCTAGCTCCAGCACTGGATGTGGACTGGCAGAGCAACAACACCTTTGCTTCCTGTAGTACAGACATGTGCATTCATGTCTGTAAGTTAGGACAAGACCGACCTATTAAAACATTCCAGGGACATACGGTAAGGAACCTTTTTTGCTACTTGCCATACAAGGATTGTGACAAGTAATATTTCAGAATAATTCTAAGATGTTTGTGTTGTATATCTAAACAGTAATACAATCTATCAAATGAAAATGTGATTATTTACTTTTAGAATGAAGTAAATGCTATCAAATGGGACCCAACTGGCAATCTCCTGGCCTCCTGTTCTGATGACATGACTTTGAAGGTAATGAATGCATACTGGGGAGAAATGGGATGGGAGTGTCATGAAGTATGTGGTCTTTGGCGCCTTTATTGCTGTTTAGAATATTTTTTTACATTGAATTTTTAAATGTTGATGAGAACTTGTCCTACTTTCTAATGATTAAGCATTGCTTTGTGTACTTTAATTTTCCTTCTTGCAATACATAAAATTACCTAAATATTGCAAATAAATTGTGTTAGTAGTGATACAATGAGAATTATGTTACTGTAATTCATCAGCATTCTCCAGAGACAGAGAACCGGTAGAGGAGAGGGACTGATCAATCTGTAGGAGAGTATGAGGAATTCGCTCACTGGACTGTGGTGGCTGATAAATTGTAAGCTAAATAGTCTTCAGTTTGCAAACCGAAGACTCAGAAAGCTGCTGGTGAAACTCCAGCTGGAAGCCAAGGCCTAAGTACCAGTACTGTACTTCCCAGCTCCAGGGAAAGCAGTGTCCTCAGAGGGGTCAGACTGCTTCTTTGTCCTGTCCAGGACCTCACTGAATCAGATGATATGCACTTGCACTGGAGACAGTGGTCGGCTTTACTTAGTATACTGGTTGCAATCTAATCTTGTCCAGAAGTATGCAGAAATATAGTTAAACTGCTGGGTTCCCCATGACCACCTCCAGTTGAGTCATAAAATAAACCATCTTAGGTAGTGGGGAAGTGTGAAATTGCAAATTATCTTAACTGTTAGGAAATTGTTTTGTTGCAATTAAAGTTGATTTTTCACATGTTTAAATCTGACAAATACTCAAGATCTTTGACATGTTTCTGAAATTTTGTAAGTAGTATTGATTTACTTTTTCTGTGATTTAAGTTTAAATCTTCCTTGCTGGGAAACAAATTCAAGTAAGTGAAGAATTTCTGAGTGCCTGAACAAGCAGACAGGCCAGTAGCCACATTTTAACATATATATATTTTTTAAGTTAGATTTCCAGGGAAAGGAGAGGTAGGTTTTCATCCACTTGTTTGTTTAGTCAATGGCCACATTGGCTAGAACTGGCTGGTTTGAAGCCAGGAACCAGGAGCTTGTTCAGAGTCTCGGATAAGGGTGCCAAGTGTCCAGGGTTTGAGCCGTTCTCTGCTACTTTCCCAGGCCATAAGCAGGGACCTGGATCAGCTATAGAATCATGGATTGGTGCCCATATGGAATGTCGGTGCTGCAAGGCGGAAATTAGTCTGTTGAGCCATTGCACCAACCCCAACATACATATCCCTCCCTCCCATCCGTCCATCCGTCCGTCCTAACTAAAAGGAAGCTGTTGATACTTGACTTCTAAGCATGTAACATTCCACAGTTAAGGGAAAAAGTGGACTTTGATATAAAAACAGCCATATACTAATCTCCAAAATAAATGCTGTCTGGAGCCCTCCTCTGACAGCCAACCTTGAAAGTAGTCTTGTCTTTGACTCTGCGATACTGGTGACTAAAGACGAGATGACCTTTATCCATGGAATAATCTTGAGAGAAAACTGGTTTTCATCCTAGCATGAGCAGACTTGAGGACCCTGTGGATTTTTTTTCCCCCTAAGTACCTGCTGTTTTTTTGGTCAGATCTCAAGAGTGAGCTCCCTTTTGAGCATTGGTACTGAAAATCCTTATCTTACTGCTGTAAGCTATCCTGGTTCATGTACGTACGTTCAGTTTGTATAGTGAAGAGCTTTGTAGAAAAGCATAGAATGTCCAAGGAAGTGAGAGGAGGACAGTGTTCATAGAACTCTCCGCTGTAGATTGAGTGGCAGCTACAGAGACAGAATGGAGCTTGACATTTTTAGAAAGCTTTTCTTCATCCTAAGAATAAACGAAGGTCACTTAGGGTTTTCAAGCTGAGACTAGTTAGATGGATAAACTGTAACAGGGGCATTTTCTGAGCACAGGGACTATCACACGAAGTGAGATGGTCATGGCTTTGAGAGCTACACATGGAAATGCTTCATGGGTCTGCTACTCATGTTTTAATGCAAGCTTGAGACAGAAACAGCAGCTCCGGTGGGAAAGGGAGAATGTGTGTGTGAAAATGAGAGGTGTTCATAATGAACAGGATGGTGTCCAGCTAATTTTTGTTGGCACTGTTGGATACATTGTGTTTGTGTTGCCAAAATGTTGCATGCCTCTACTCCACTGACCGATTCTTTATTAAATGATTTTGCCAGAAATATTCTTGATGTATGTCTCTATTAATTTTTGCTCAGAGTTGATAACAGATTTTCAATTTACACATAGCATTTTTCATCTTGGGAAAGGTTTATTCTCCACCATCTTAACTTTATTCTATCTGTTTTCATTGGTTGTTCTGTTTGAGTCATCACATTATTTTATAAGTAGATTACTTATCTTCTCCTCATTGCAGTATTTTCCTGCTTCTTAATTCTAATAGAAGTTGACGGGACAACATAAAACTGTCCCTTTCACATTTTATTGTTGGACTTCATGATGTTACGTCATTGATATATTGGACTGGCAAGATAGTGTTCAAAAAATAATTATGTATGTTTTCTTTTTTATTTAGATTTGGAGTATGAAACAAGACAATTGTGTCCATGATTTGCAAGCACATAATAAAGAAATTTATACTATCAAATGGAGTCCAACAGGACCAGGGACGAATAACCCAAATGCCAACCTTATGCTAGCAAGGTGATATGATGTTTCTGTTTTTTAATCTTCTTTGTGAGTTTTTTATAGATAAAACTTCTAATAAATTTGAATAAAGTTATGTAGGATCCTATGAAATGGAGTGCATCTGATAAGGACAAATCAAGCTGCCACTGGATCTGCGTTTGTAAGGAGCTGGAGTCGGGAGCCAACCCGGGGGATCAAACTCAGGCGTCCTTCAGGCGCAAGGCCTACCCCAGGGAATGGGAACATATGTCATTCATTTTATTTCATGTAGTGCTTGATTTTAGAAGTCACATTATAAAACAACACTGAATATGGAATGTCCTTGCATGCTGGTGCCTGAGCATTTGTACCATCAGATTTTTTAAAATTAATTTATTTTATGATTCAGTGACATAGCCTCAGTATATTTTTAATAGGGCCTTTAAATATGGGATATATTATTTTAAGACAGTGGAAGTCAAGTGATATCAAATATTGATTAAAACTTAGGCAATTTACACATACTACATAGTAATGTTCATCACCTTTAAAAATATAAAATACGGCTAATACAGTGCTTAAGATCAGGAGTTGGTTAAGAAGGAATTATTTAAAGTGAAAACAGTGAATTGTCACTTATGTTTTCCAGTTTATTGGTTTAGAAATTGTCCATGGCTACTTTTTCTCTTGCTTCTTTGTCTAGGTTCCACAATGCTTTCTCCCTAATACTGCACCCTTCTTATGGAGAATTGGGGGCTGTTCGCAGTAACAGAATATTGACACGTTGGGTGCAAGCGTAGGAGAGTATTTCATTATCTTTACTACCATTTCCTTCCCTTTCCAGTGCATCCTTCGATTCTACTGTTAGGTTATGGGATGTTGACCGAGGAATTTGCATACATACTTTGACAAAACACCAAGAGCCTGTGTACAGTGTAGCTTTCAGTCCTGATGGCAGATATCTGGCAAGTGGCTCTTTTGACAAATGTGTGCACATCTGGAACACACAGGTACGTCCGAGACGTTTATATTTGGTTGGACACATTTTCCGGTAGAGGTGTGATCTTTGAGGGTGTCGTTTCTCCTGTGGCATTAACTGAATTCTTAGTTTTAAATAGAGAAGATTTATGGCTAGGTAACGATCAAAACTGATTGAAATTACAGTTTTCTAATATTTAGAAATGAATTTAGATGACCTGTTTTATTATAATTTGCTGTTTTATTCTTTTTGCTTCCCCAAAAGTTTCCTACAGGGAGATTGTAAGGGATTAAAATGTACTTAGTTAGAGCTTTCTGAGGAAATTGTCTCCAATGAGATTTTATACTGTAGCGGCTTGATATTTGAAGGAAAAACTAACAGCCTTGTGCCCTTGGCATGATTGCTTCTAGAGAGATTCCCCTCATAAAAGTAAAGAAGCCTTCCTTTACTCTCAGAGAGAGCAAGACAATTGAAAAATTGTTTAAATTTTCTTCAGTGTCTTTTATTTTTATAATTCACGTAGTTTTTTGTTTGTTTTCGAAGTGCGTCTGTTTGAAAGGCATTGATGGGTGGGGAGACAGGTGCACGGCTCTCCTGTCCACTCCCTCACTCCCCACGTGGGCGTAACAGCCAGGGCCGCCCCAGGCAGAAGCCCAGAGGCTGGACCTCCAGGCAGGTCTCCCACCCTCTAAAGGCTTCAAACACTGGAGCCATCTTCTGCTGCCTTGGAGGAACCTGAATCAGAAGCCAAGCTGCTGGGGCTCAGGGCGGCGCTGTGATAGCTGGCACTGCGAGCAGTGACTTAAGCCGCTGTTCCACAGGGACAGCCCCAACTGTTTCAGTAACAGCAATCACGTGGGCCTCCCCTCAATTATCAGGTCCTTCCTGGTTATAGTACGTACAGAAATCACTGTGGGATTTTTTTTCCCCCAAGTTTTGCACCAAAAAATTTATGTAAAGGCAAAATTTATGTAAAGGCAAAATTTATTATATCCTGAGAAATATTTTTCATTTCTGCCTTTACCTTCTGTTAAGTAAACAGATACATTTTTGTTGTATGTGAGGTCTTCTCATCAGTGTAAGTTTGTGATTCTTTTCATTCTTATGGTTCCACTGGCAGTATGAAAGAAAAAGATTATTTTATCATAGTCTTGTCTTTAGATGAAAATGGTATTGCAGCATTATTTTCAATCTTCATTTAAGAGAATTACCCTTTGTGTGTTTGATTCATATTCACTTCTGTGAACTGCCTGCTTTCCAGCTGGGTTCCTGGCTGCTTTCTTTCTTGCAGATCTTTCCTAGCCTTTGGTGGTGTGAATTGCAAAGTTTATAGTTGCGTAGTTGTTAACCCGAAATTTTCTATTGTATTTAGAATAAACTTTTTAAAGTAACAATGTTTTAGCGTAATATTTTATCATTATGTACTTACCTGTACTGTATTTTCTCTTCTACTAAATAGATGCTTGTGTAGAATATGTCATAGAACTGAGTATTTGAAAGAAAGAACTCAATCCTAAACTTTGTGTTTATGTGAAGGCATGAATTATTCTCCCAAATTAACTTTTTAAAATTCAACAACAGTTGAGTAGTTTTTGACAATGATTCTGAATGTGTGAATCGTAATGCTATACTGTCAGCAAGAACGACTATCGGCATGGGATGAATTGAGTGTGTATGTGTAGATTGATGTATTCCTATGAAGCGATCAGCTCATTTCATTTCTAACGTTTCAGGCTATGTGCTTACTCTAGAGTTGCAGTTTAGTCCCACTTCTCTGATTGTTGAAACTGAGGCCCTTCGGTGTTTTTTTTTTTTTAATCTTGCCATTTGGACTTAGCAATACATACATGATTTTTAAGATTCTGTTTCTCATTTTATAGACAGGTGCTCTAGTTCACAGCTATAGGGGAACAGGTGGGATTTTTGAAGTTTGTTGGAATGCAGCAGGAGACAAAGTTGGAGCCAGTGCATCAGATGGTTCAGTAAGTACAGTAAAATACTTCCGGGGGGGGGGGGGGGCTGCGTGTACATCCACATTGGGTTGGGCCTTATTGTAGTGAATACAAAAAGATTCTTTTAAAAATACATTTTAAGATAAGATATTGATCTTTATATATCTGAAGACTGTATACTTGTTCATTGTGTATAAATAAAACTAACAAAAAACAATTTTGTCTATCATTGCCAAAAGATTATCAACATAATTAGAAAATGGGCAGTTTTTTTAAACGTTCACTAGCGAAAATTTTTTATAAGATTTTATTTTATTTATGTTTTAATTTTAATTGGAAAGTTAGAAACGCAGAGAAAAAGGTCTTCAGTCCGATGACACTCCCCAAGCGGCCGCAACTACCTGAGCTGAGCTGAAGCCAGGAGCCTCTTCTAGGTCTCCCACATGGGAGCACTAGCAGGAAGCTGGATGGGAAGCAGGGCCACCGGGATTAGAGCCAGTGCCCTGGGATCCCAGAGCATGCAAGGCGAGGAATTTAACCACCAGGCTGCTGCACTGGGCCCTCCTTAGTGAATTTTTTAATAGAGCACAACAATACCTTGATAGTGATTTGAATTTTTAAAGTCTATTTCTGTCTTCTCAAAGAATACTGGTGGCCTAGAGGAGGGGAGGTGAGAGAGAATTTATTCTTTTTTTTTTTATTGCAATTTTATTTAAAAGAGAAATCTCCCCACAGAAGTGAGACAGGGAGAGCTTTTCCATCCAGTATATCACTCAAATGGCCCCGATGGCCAGGGCTGGGCAGGCTTTACTGTGTAGGTCTGGGGAGCCAGTCGCTTCGGCCATTTTCCACTAGTTTTCCTGATGTGTCAGTCAGGAGATGGATGGAAAGTAGAGCAGCTGAGCTTCGAACCAGTGCCCAAATGGGATGCCAGCATCACAGGCTGAGCCTACCCGTGGTGCCACAGTGCCATCCCAGTACAGTCGATTCCTCCATTAATGAAAGCTCCATACTCAGTGACTTTCAGGTTATGATTGGCATACTTTTAGCAGAAGTGCTGGTTAGGGCTTCTAGAATTCTAATGGCATAATGGAGATTGGAACGCTTTGGTCATTAGTCACTTACCTAAGCTACAGCTTAATACAGTCTGTGATCTCTCATTGAGCGTCCAAGAGATAGGGAATAGTGTTTTGAGCTTTTTGCCCTACTGTGTAATTAGCAGAAAGTAATTGCTAGAAATTGCAGCCGTGCTTTTTTCACTACTGTTATTATTGTGTTACCATTGTTTTCAGGACTGTTTCCTCCATCTGCTTGATAATCTGATTTATTGATTGAGTGTCTATTTCCTTGATTACTCCTTCGGTGGCTTTGTGAACTTACAGTTAAGAAGCAGTTTCCAAATTGTATCATAGAATAGTCAAATTGTAACGTAAAATTCTGAACCCTTTGGTTGATTGTTTTACTTTCTTGCAGGTTTGTGTATTAGACCTTCGGAAATAGCGCTACTAGTTGGAAGCCATGGACCGACTATGAATGTGTACATAGCCAAAATGACTGTCCCTGACCCATGTACTGCTATAGTCCCACTTGAACCATGGCCAGTCCACTACAGCCAAACCTAAAGGAAATATATACATACAGTGTATATAAACAAAATTGCACCCTGAAGATGACAGAGTTTTGTCACAGCTTGTGAATTCTGTTCACCAAGTGCTGGAATCTAATCTGTGCCCCTAAAATAGCATTTAGAAGTTTTGGATATGAAAACCAGAAGAGAGAAATATACGTTATAAAAGCAGACCATACATGTACCAGTTTTGGATACTAATGACAGCCTTGTTTCCCCATGAATCAGCAGACACCATGGATTATATTCTTTTTTCCCTTCAGTAGTGAGCAGTTTGTATGTACAGAGAAAATGGACTTAACAAAACCTTGCAGCAGTAGTTTGTTCTTGCTTTTAAATTTTGTTTTTTGGTTTAGATTATGGATGCATGAAGTAAGGGAGTGAATCAGTTTCTTGTTGATATTTTTTTCACCTTTTAAACAACAAAAAATTCTTGAAAATATTTTAATGCATTCTTTTGAAAAGGTAGATGTTTGGTACATTTTATGGCTCCCAGAGCATATATTCAATTGGTGCATATTAAGGAAGGGGAAATTGGGAATCAAATGAAAACCTATACCTTCGGTCATGTTGATTTGTAAGACACATGTAAGACACATCAGTAAAAGGGTAATATGCTCTGTTTTTGTGGTGATGTGGCTTAAATATAATAGTTTCTTCTTTGGGACATAATTCTGCCAATTAAAAACTAGAAGGGCACAAAATTTTTTTTGATACCATAGAGAAGATACATTAAAAAAAAAATCTTCCAATGTTTTGTAGCCATACTAAATTATGGTTAAAATGTGCACTATTGTGAAAAGGAGCAAAGTAGTTTTGGGGTTTTTTGTTGTTGTTATTTGTTTCTTTGTTTGTTTGCTTTGGTTTTAAAGAGATTAAAATGTTTCTGGATAAGGATTAGCTTCTCAAAGTGTCCATCATTCTATGTAGAAGCTTAATGTAATGTAACCAAACTCCAGTATTAAGAAAATCTCGCCTATTGTTTTTCTTTATACAAAGCAAGATAACGGCATATAACACTGCCATTACATGGCAAAATGTTTGCTACCTTAGTTTAAAAAATAATCTTTAAAACAAAAGACTTGCTTCAAAGTGTTTTTAAATAAATAGCAGTAATTCAGAATTAAAAAAAAAAAGTATAATTGCACTAACTTCCCTGCTGCTCTAATTCTGCATTTGTGGTACGTGTGACTACATTTTTTCAAACATAGATAGGTTTAAGCTGCTATTTTTGTTTTAAGAAGTCACTACCATATTATCATGTCTTTTACTCTGTTTATAACATCAAATATTCTTACAGATAATATGAAATCAAACCTCCTCTCACACTGATGAAGCTAAAAGCAAAATATACAGGCAAATGATAGCATGGGGCAATGTTTTAATGTGTGATTAACAAGATTTGTCATGATTTAATGTAAGAATCCAAGAGTGTCAATTTTGAAGAGTTGTCAAATTTATATATCAAAGATTTTAATTAAGGAATTGCTTCTTGAGCTTAGCAAATTTATAACACTATTTCTGTCATTAATTATTTGGAGACCTTAACTACTAAAAATGTAACCTGTGTCCTTTAAGTAGAAACTGATTTAACCCAAGTAATGCAGCTTTGATTTTCAACATTTGTTTTGCTCTTTCTACATTGATTGATATTTCTGCATTGATTGAAGCAAGTCTTGGTTTTACTAAGGTAGAGTAGCATTTGCTAATGGTAAAGAGAATAAGTACACTTAATTTCACAATACATTGTTATATGTACCCCAGTTGTTCTTAGTGGGGACTATGATACTGTAATAAATATTTTTTAAAATATACATGCAGAGAGGCAGTCATTCATGATGGTTTTGTGCCAGCTGTTTTTAGGGTTTTGGATCACATTAGAGATACTTAGAACTTATTACCCTGTGACTTATGTAGGAAACCTAATATGCTGAGTATCTGGCACTTGAAATCCTGCTTTTATTGCTGGAGGTCCGTATCTGTGGTTGACCTCTATTGTTGTTCTAAAAAAAAATAAAAATAAAAAAAATCTGTGCAATAATTTTTAAGTGTGCTCCCAGGAATAGACACAAATGTTTTGAGTATGTTTAAGCTGCATTTTCCTTTAGCGATGCATTTGTCAATTGCACTGAATTTAAATCTGAAAGTCAGAGGTGATTATTGATAGTACTTTTGTATTTTGATATGGACAATTCATTTGCATACAGTTATTGACTTTTTTCCCAGCTGATTAAAAGATAGTCAAGAAATTCTGCAATATAGCTGCCAAAATAGACAGCTACATTTTTATGATATTGTCATCTTTTCTGTTTTCTTTTTTAATTTAGCTATTTTACTTAGGCATAATAGCCACAATAGGACATTTAAAAGATTATAAATGCAGAGCTTTATTATCCTGAAGTCTTGGGTCTTTTAAGTATAAACTTCTCTGAAAGGTATCCATTTTGTAGGCTTGGGTTTTTCATGAGCATACGATTGTTTTTTTGCTGCTGTTCTCAACATCATAATTGCCTGCTGATGTGCCACGATGCTGCTCCAATAAACAAACTGAAGATTGTCTCTGATTTGAGCAGTAGCATGATTTCAAGAGACCAAGGTTCACAGCCTGTAAAAGTTCTATGTTTGGGGTTCTTGCTCATTTTCCTCCTATTTTTTTCTGATAACTTGTTCCTGAAGATCAGTTAAATTCAGTAGTTTTTGTATGGTAGTTGATTATATATCATTGATGTATAAGCTACTGTAAGAAACTTACAAGGGAAAATAGAAAGGAAAGCATGAATGAATAGTCACTGATTAATATAGAAAAAAGAAAGAGCAGCTGCCACTCTTAAACGTCATCAAGGAATATTTTTTCTCCTCTGTGTAAGAAATCCCATTAGTGCTTATATTCATTTGTTACAATCCCTGTTTCCGATCATCGATCAGGAAACATCATTGACTTTCAAAATGACTTTTAGAAGAGAACGGTTAATTTCCTATTAGGTCTTAGAGTGTTTGCATTCTGTTTTAGTTATTCTCTAGTAAAAACATTTTATTAGGTTTAACACCTTTTACAGATACTGAAAGTGCCTCCTTTTGTGGTGTAAAAAAAAAAACAAATTATGGTGCAAAAAGTAATCACTAGATTGAATTACATGAAGGTTTTTTTTTTTTTTGCTTTTTGACATGTAAAATGTCAAGAGAAAGGCCAAAGATTTGTACTTTTTCACTTAACTTATAAAGCACTCCTTCTTTCCTTAAACTTCTTTCTGTCAAATTAGATTTAATGAGAGAGTACTATTTTTAAGGAGCTATCCGTTAATGTAGAATGATTTTGTTAAGAGTAATGTAAACTATTATTGAATAGAGGCCTAAAGAAGACTGTGCATTTTTGCTATTTAAAGGAATCACAAATGACCATACTTAACGTGAGCAAAAATGACAAGTTTTACTAGCTAGGTAGAAAACTCTCCAATGCAGTGCTATTTACTCTTTCATTTTCTTCAGCACATTGTACCTTTCTACTGAACCTACGTTCATTCTCACATGCTAAGGATGGTACTTGCTTATGGCGGATATCTGTCGACAGTTTCCACAGAAATCCTTTTGCGGTGGACCAACATTGTGGCATGGCAGCAAATGCCAACATTTTGGGGAATAGCAGCAAATCTATAAGAGACCCTGGTTGTTTTATTTTTGTTGTTGTTGTTTTCCCGCCTCTGCCTTCCCCTGAGTCAGCAGGGTTGGAAGGAGGGTAGGGACGTTATGAATTACTCCTTCCAGTAGTAGCTCTGAAGTGTCACATTTAATATCAACTTTTCTTTTTTAAAGGAAAAAAAAAAAACAGATTCTAGTTAAATGTAGAAGAGAGAAAAAAGAGGAAGTGTTCACTTTTTTAACACACTGATTTAGAAATGTGATGTCTTGTATCAGTAGTTCTGAGGTATTGCTAGCATTCTTTAGTTCTGCCTTTACGTTGACAGGGTTGAAGCAGGGTGAATAACGAGGGCGTGTTTTTCTTTTCTGGTAAGCTGTTTCATGATGTTTTCTTTGGATTTTCTGGATAAGTTGAAGAAAACATTCTGCATGTTGTATCTAGTCTGATGTGCTTATCCATCTCATTACAGAAAGACAGAATACCACGCAGACTGCGTTCTGTAGCTCTGTAATTCTCTAATACAGAAGTAATTTCTTCTTTCCTGACTTTGACATTGTAGCTATAATGTTTTCCTTTTGATTTTTACAAATCTTTTGGGTCTAATTCTGTGAGCCTACCTATAGCACTGGATTAAAATGTCTGCATCATTTCTTTAGTTATCCAGTTAACTTTAAAACTGTTGTAAAAGTGTAAACCAGCCCATGACAGTTTTTTGTACATGTTAAAGAACTTTATTGTTCAGTTTTCATGATTATTGTGTAAGGAAGACTGATATAGATGTTCTATGCTGTCCTGGACCATGTTAATTACACTTACGATGTATTTTGGTTCCACATCACAATGATTTGTTCCCAATGACCTTTTCATCCTTTTTAGGCACATTTTTTTTTGTTGTTGTTGATGTTGTTGCAGTTTCCCTTTGCATTGTATTGCTTTGACAACTGTAATTTGAATCAGATCTGAAAGAGGTCCAGAATAAAATATATTTTGATATTATGTTGGCTGTGTACATATATAAAATCTTTGATATCTATGTAGTTTGTATAGACTATTTCCTGGTCAAGTAAAGAGAAGGGATGCTATTTCTTGTTTACAATTTCTTGTCTACATTTTCATTGATCTTTTTCCTCCAATGTTCTATTGTAGAATAAATTTTTTGCTCTGAGTTATCCTTCATAACATATAACATCTCTAATTCTCTCCCATAATGGTGTTGCCAGTTAGAACTGCCGTCAGAACCCCAAGCCACTATTTTTCATAAACATTGTTTTCCAAGATAATATACTTTAAAGTAAGCCCATAGATAACATTATAAATTTTGCTATTTTATTACTTCCTGCAGGAGATAAGATTTTTTAAATGAAGGGATTATTTACTATTTTTATTAAAGAATAGAGCACGAATCCATTAAGGGGATAGTAATTAGTTTTGGATTATTTTGAAAAAGTAATATTGTATGTAAAGGACATTGTTTCATGTGTTCGAACTGAACGAGACCTCAGAGGCGTTTCTCCGGCACACGGTGAGCACAAAACGCAGTGTGTGTAGAGGATTGTTCACGACAGGAAGCTCGGCTTCCTTGGTGACACGTTCCCCCTTCGTAGAAGTCAACTCTGGAGTTGATCCTTTTCCTTAGCAGTTGCTTCTGTTACTACTATAGCCTTATGAGAAAAGAAACTGTTTTCCAAGTTAATTCATACTCCTTTATAATTGCTTAGAGACTTTTGAAAAAAAAAAAAAACTAAGCATATTTTTTGCTTTCCTTTGTCTTTCAAAAGCTTGTGTTCTCTGGAACTTCAACTGTGTTCGTATTTCCTGAACAGAAACAATTTAGAGGTCTAGCCTTACGGTGTCTTATTAGAGGTGAGCCACTGCACTTGTTAGAACTAAAAGCCTTTCGTTTTCAAAGGGTTACTTTCATTGCACGGCGTAGATGGCTGACAACCTGCCTCTTGCACTTTTCCAATCAAGTGTTGGATTACTGAGAATTGGGATACGTGTAAGTAGGAGGTAACACTGATACTAATTGGAGAAGTTCTGGAATTGCTTTTAATTTTATGTTTCTCATATTAAGCAATGGATTTGATTTCATATCTGTTGCAGTACACAGGCAATCAGGTTAAAGTTAACTGTTGTCTCAGTATACTAATTTAACATACGCAGTGGAGTAGAGCACACTTCATAACAGGGTCGGAACGGTGTTGTTCTCTGCTGTGCCGAGGCGCTCTGTCACCAGTGAACTGTTAACCCTGTGGTACTTTCTCTGCATGCTTATTAATTGTCATATCTCTATGCTTAATTGTCCTAACTTGTAATATTTTTGTATTAAATTTTTTAGGATTTCCTTGTAATTTCTTTATAATTTAAAATATATTAAACACAAAGTGTTTAGTAAAGTACCGAAGACAATTACTAATGTTTCTTGGTCATTGGGTTTATATGATCGAACGGGGAGGCAACTCACATTTTAGGAGCTATTAGGATCACTTGGGTGGGATTTATAAAGAGATAAATCTGTTACATAGAACAAAACCTTTCTTAACCTACTAACCCAATGTCACAATGGGCTGTTTTACTGTCAAAGGCATGGGTTGGATGGCCAGTGCTCTGGAAAAACTCAATTACTGGGTTTATTAAGTTCCTCAAATCATCAAGCTCTTGATTGAAAATCCAGTCACACTGAGGTTTGAGATATCAAACCTCTGAAAAATGTCATCTTTCAGAATGTCACATAGTAAGTTTAGAACAGTGTGAAGATCTGCATATTGCTAGAACCTTTTCCACATAAACTTTAGTGTTACACAAACACTGCTTGTCTAGGTTAGTGGTCTGATTTTTCAACGTGGGTTGTTGAGGAAGCATAAACCCAAGTAGAGAATGAGTAACAGGTGAAATGGAGAATGATCGAAGAGCATCAATCACACTGGACATCAATATCATAATGCTGGCCTAGCGTTACCAGGTAACTCTAAGTTGTGACATAAGATTATCCCTTCAGAGTTAACAATATTTCCAACTTAACTGGTTGAAGTATTATGGGAATAAACTTGAAGTGGGACATATCCAACTTCAAAGTAAATGAAGTCTTCATGATAAATTAGTCAAGTAGAATTTAATTTTTAAAATGTTGATTAAACTGGTGCATGCTTTAGAATCCTTTGTGAGGTTAAATCCCTGGCCACCCTTGATGAATAATATGGAAGCACTAGGTAAGTATGAGATCTGCTTGTTTCTATGCCAGAGGTGACTCATTTGTGTGGTGTATGTATTTGTAGAGCTAATGCATGTAAAGAAATAAAAGATACAAATATTAAAATCTTATTTCCAGGCTCCCACTCAAGTCCTCAGGAAAATGTACTGTTACTATTTGGGTGGATGTTCTTCCTGTTGCAGCGTACACTTGTACAAAAGGAAATTCAACTGAGAGTAATATTCATCGACCTCAGAAGCTGACAGCCACACTGACGTCATCAGAACGCTTGCTCTGTCAGCATAGGTACTTCACTGTTCCATGAGGGTGGAATCCACTCTGGGGCAGAAGATGATGGATTCTGCTTGTCTGCCAGGGATGAATCCAAACTCAGTAGCTGCAACCTAAAGAATTACTATCATGTTTTCCCTCCTCTCTCTAAAAAGGGCTTGCATAAGCAATGAGAACTGAAATTGATGCAGAAACGCACTTCTTTTTTCCTTTTAAGATTTGAGAGGCACGCAGAGAGAATTCCCATCCACTTGTTCGCTCCCCAAGTTCCCTGTGACAGCTGGACCGGACTGGTTGAGCCAAAGCAAGAACGGAATGTAGTGTACATGGGTGTGTCAGGGACCCGACTGCTCCTGCCTGTACAGCTGCACGCCAGGAAGCTGGACTCACATACCAGGGTCAAGAATGGAACCTAGCTACTCCAGTAGCAGGCATCTGTAATTTAAGGCTTAGGTTAAAATTTGGATGGGTCTAAATCCCTTTGAGAATTAGCCTACCTTTAGAAAGTAGGCAAAGTGTTAGCACGTTATACTCCAAAATTTAGCCCCCTGGACCACACACATGTATGTCTACATACATACACTGTTGTAAAGATTGCATACGTGTAAAGGGTGGTGCTTGGCCAGGTATTTGTGTTTCTATGGGACACAGGCAAAGTTGATTCTGATGCACAGCTCTGGTTAATAGCCAATTGAAATGATAAGACCGTCCAACCATTTGCTGGCATTCATTGAATACCAAAGACACCATTTATAAACTTGTACAAGGGACATTTTGGGTGCGGAAAAATGGTTGAGTAATTCAGCATAAATCGAGAGAGTAACGGACTAATAGAAATTGTGGAACAGGGATTATCAGAAAGTACTTTTTTAGCCCTATGAATTTTTCTTATTTGGTGATAAAACCCTGCAGATATGACTTTAAGATTTTGTTAGGTGCATAAAGAACATCCTGTAACAGGGCATAGTAAATAGGCTAAATCCGATTAGCAACCTGGGCCGGGCTGTTAGTATACACAAAGAGGAGGCCAAATCCTAGTCCTTGTATTCAGTGAGCAGACACTTGGGTTTTTAAGGCTACCTTAACCCCATGTTGCCATCATCTATCCTGGTTCCGTATTTTACTCAGCAAATACTTGTTCAATATCTGCTACATTTCAAAATGTAGGTGGGAGGGTGAGGATTCTGTTAGCTGTAACAGAATTACATTGAAACATCTGAAATTGGTGTTAGTTCCCAAGTTAAATTCAAATACCTGGCAGTTTCAAATAGTGCACCCTACTTGAGGTACTCTGCAAGGCAGGGAGTAATAGGTTTAGGTTTTGCTATTTTTGATAGGAAAATGACATGTTTATATTTGCATGTACTACTTTAAATAGTGTCCATGGATTCAATCTTGAAAGGCAAAAAAAGTTTGGACACCACTATGGAGAAGTTCGTGATTTTTTTACTTAAGCTACTGGGCAGCAGTAGGGATACTGAGCTTGCTTGAAACCCCAAAACTCATTTTGGGATCTTGTGCCAATCACTGTTCATCTCCAAAGCCTCATCCTACCATGTTCCCAAAGGAAGCATTGTAGGAATCAGTGGAGCTCTCCAGTAGTCTCTCCACAAACTAGGGATGTGTTTTAGGGCTTTGCTTTACAAGAGTAGCCCATAGTTACCTCAGGTTGCATGCCAGCCATCTGCTGAATCAGCTGTGACAGCTACCTCTCATGTCCCCTGTACACTCATGCAAGTTTGAGAATCAGTGAAGGGTCCACCCCTCCGAGGAGGTTTATTGCTTCCCATCCACCTGGGCCTTGAACTCCTTGATAAGCACCATAACAGTTGATGGGAGAGGAAGAAGAGACCCGTGCAGGAGAAATTGTAATACTGCTTACGATAAACCCTTCCCACACGGATCCACTGTCAGTATCTCAGGCTCTACCCCGTTTATCAAGTTAACTAGGTGATCATGGGTGACAGCTCTCTGCCTGTGTCCTTGTCTGAGAAACGGAATATTAACGACTTGCCTCAGCTTGTGCGGATGATGCATTGATTTTTTTATTCACACTGTGGTAAGGCAACTGTTCTTGTCCTGGTGGTGATGCTAATGAAAGGTGCTGCAATAAAACTTCCTGTTATATTGAAATCTACCACACATTGTGTTCTGTAGTCATTAATTTGTCCATTTATTCAATCAGGCTTTTTCCTTGCATTTATGCGTGAGTGTCCTCTCCCCCAACCCGTGCCCTACCCCTGTTTGCCTAATTCCTGTTGAGTTCAGTCAGGCTGACCACATCACTGCTCAAGCTATCCAGACCTTGTCTTTTCCTCCACTCTAAGTGAGGTGCCCATTTTTTTCTCTTTCAGCTCATGTATTGAGTCACTCCATATGCTCTTCTTAGACTGGGTTCCTGTGCTGAAGGAAGCCACACTCTCTTTGGATCTCTGTACCCTAGCAGAGTGCATGAGAGGAAAGGTGGTGAATCGTAGGCATTCCTGAAGAGGAAGGTATTAAAAGGAGAAGGTGA